CGGGGGGCCCGCTCGGTGTGAGCCGCGGCGGCAGGCCCGGCGGGGTCTTGCGCGGGGTCCGGGGGAGAAGGAGCCTTGTCGTGCCCGGCCTGCTGCCCGCATCCTTTTTTTCTTACTTTTTAGCCTTTTCAGGCAGCGTAGGGGGCCGCGTGTGCAGGAGCGATGCGGTGTGTCTCGGGGGAGGTTGCCGCAGCCACTTGCGCCGGGTTTTGTCGCCTAGCTCTGCCCTCCAAGCCTTTAACAGAAAAAAACCCTCTCAAATACATAATGCTACACAGTGCTGCTTTGCTTGTATCTAACTCTAAATAAAAAGTAAAGTTACAGCTACATTAGGAATCCCCCGAAAATGAGGGGGGCTGTGATGCTTCATCTGCTCCATCCCGGAGTAGCACGGTGTCTTGCAGATGGCGTTGAGGTGGGAACGTGAAGTGGGAGGCGGTGTGGGACTGTCAGCTAAAGCAGCGATTGCTTTTGAATGTAATCACCTTTCGTTATTGCTCTAACCTCGGTGGACAGTAACAAATGCAGCCCTGATGTTGTGCCACATCTATATTTTATTTTATTCCAGACCGGTTATAATAAAATTTTTATTTACTGCCTAAACTCCCTGAAGTGACTTTTGACTGGTAGCTTGCAATCTTGGTGGATTACTTCCAGAAAATTTAAAAAGACGTGACTAAAATGTCTGCTGACACTAAGCTTGAATTCACCCTGTCAAGGCTCTCATTTCTCTTGTGCTCAAAAATACAGTCGAAAGGGTAGTGTTCAAAACAACACGGCTTTGTGATCATTGTGGTTGCCAAGAACAGCTGCACGCTGACAGCTCGTGTAACCATCAGCAAGGACTGTGCTGGGAACAGAGAGAATAGGGCAAGAAAGAAAAATTTTGTCAGTAAAGGTAAGCAGAGCGGGGTGGGGGGAAAACAAGCTTTCGCTGTTGTGATAGTGCGTTGCCTCTTGGTTTAGTCTCACTGCTGAGGCTGCCTTGGTGGTAAGGAGTGTTTATTCTTACAGCTGTGCTTGCAAGTCTGGTGGTGATTCCTATAGAA